AACGATGAAAATGATGAAATTCAAAGTTTAAGGACTCAATTGCAACATTTCAATAGTTGATTCGGACTACAAAACTATAATTGAAGATTGCTAGGAGTCATCCGGATGCAATTGGAAGTCAAAAAGGAGTGAAATGTACTCAAAATATTTTCACAAATCAATCTCCAACCGTAGAAGTATGTTCTAGATTTTTATACGAATATGGAGACCCATTTTGACATAGTAAACGTTCGAATGTGAGAAATTTATATGAAGTAAAGTTGTAGCCCTTTGCGTTATCTTTCCAACGCATTTTGAATCAACTCAATTGGATATCGGGAGAAAAAGTTACAATAAAAATACTGAAAGATGCGTAGTGCTGATTTTTCCACTCAAAAGTGGGCGAAGCGTGGCGCTGGAGCGCCGCCGAGAGAGAAAAAGGATTTTTGCATATTTTGGTCTTTTTTAAGTGCTGATTTTTCCACCCAAAAGTGGGCGCCGCCGAGCGAGGAAAAGGATTTTTGCATATTTTGGTCTTTTTTAAATTTCAGTCCAACCTTAACTCTTCCAAGACTTCATAATGATATAAATACAACCCTAAAGACCATTTTTCAACAAAAATCCATCGAGTCAAGAGCAAGAATTCAACCAGGCAATCGTCAAGGAATCAAGGAGAAATCAAGAACATCACAAAGGAAATTGAAGATCTACCAAAACCAGCATTTCTATTCTCTTCTCTATGTTGTTTTATTTGAATTTGATTATTTTTATGGCTTCCGTCATAAAATAAACTTCTAATCTATGGTTTGACGCAACATAAACTTGAGAATATGGTTTGATTTCATTGTAGTTATTTCTTTTATATTTTTCAATCATGTTTATTTGTGTTATTAATTCTTAATAATTTCAATTAATTGATCACGAATTAAATGATTTGATACTTTAAATTTCGGCATTCGAGAGAGAGAAATTCGGGCGTGATCATAGAATAACACAACCTAGGTTTTATACGTTTCGAAAGAAAATATCATTTAAAGCTTATTCCACATAAGAACCATGAACATGATAATTCTTCGATTTTAATTCAGAATAAGGATATTGAAATTAATTTCCAGGTTTAATTTTTACCCGGTACTCGAGATAAGGAGTAGAATTATATTAGGGTTCTTACTTATAAATTTTGAAAAATTGATTACAGTTAACTATATAAATGAGAATCATATTTCATAGTTAGGTGAAATCAAAACCCTGGGCTTTCTCATCTTGATTATTCTCTTAACTTGCATTTATTTGCTGAATTTATCACCATGTTCATCATTAGATTAGTTTAAAACATTGATTCAACCATTCATTTATCTAGATAAAATATAAACTACACAATTATAGTACTTAGTATAAAATTGCAATCCATGTGGGTTTGATACTCTAACTCCATTCATATATTACAAAACTTGACACCGTACACAGTATACTTTACGTCACATAAATCGCTTGACACATATTCCTAGATAACCATATATTTCTTCGCCAATTTCACCTGTACTAATGCATCATAACATGTTCAGCCAACAAATATTCAAAGTTCCACAATGAAGAACAGAGAGAGAGA